TGTTGTACGTGTTTCATGCGCAGGACAGATGAGCTCCAGTGGGTGAGCACTGGTTACGCTGGCTGCACTTGTAAGCAAGCGGCTTGTTAAACAATGAGAAATTATAGACAGCATGACCTTTGGTAGCCAAAAGCTGGAGACGAAGCAGAAATTTCTAGCAGCATCGTTTAGAGCAAGCTCAGAACATGCCACGGCTCTGTCCAATCACTAGTGCCAAGTTTTATGGGACAAATAAAACAGTTTGTATTACTTCAAAATACAGAATGAGGATTGCCCATTACTCTTCCACTGCTTAGAAACCCAGGTGAACTCCAGGGGTGTCAGTGGGTTGGACCAGGTCCAGACTTAGAACTACTTTAGGATTTCCTCGATTTGTGTGTGCCTGGGTGGTGTTGAATAACGCATTTTCATGTTTTAAATAGCGCTTTTTTTTTTTTTCCTTTTTAACTGGATGTGTTTCTGCCAGGACACCATGTGTTTCTCCTGTGTCATAGCCATTACCTCTTGCAGATTTCCATCTCACAGGTATTTTAAAAGCAAGCCTAACTTATAGCACTGGCATTAGGTTCTTTGCCAACAGACTTGCTGTTGCCATTTTCTTTTAAAGCTTGGCTGCAGAAGGTCTTGTATAGGTCTATGGGTTAGCACACTTGCTCCAGAAATAGGGGAACCAGTGTGAATCACTCCTGTGTCTGGAGGGGGCCCTTGGCTGTCCTATGCAGGGAGGAGGGGGTGCAGGAGCCCCATCTCCATCTTGCCTTTGGTGAAACATATGCTTGTCCACCTCTGTGTGCTCAAATGGCTGGGGAGAAGTTGCAAGAAGATTCGACTACTCGCCTGTTTGTTAGGATGCCGATGGGAAAGGCACATTTGAATCCCCCCACACCAAGGATCCGAGTCCCATTCCCCTGCCCAAGCTGCAGGGGCGGGGGTCTTAATGTCAGGCAGGAGCGCTTCTGCATGCGGTGCCTGTGCTTAAAAGCGAGCAACCCCAGCCCAGGTACCTCTTAGAGCTGGGACCGCCCCGTGCTTTTTCCCCAGAGGTGAGCCTGATGGTGCTCACACAATACTTGAAGTACTAGTTTTGGTAAAACCATGAACTCGAACAATGTAGTTTCTGCAGCAAGAGAAAGCATAGATGAGCTGGATGAGACTGTAGGCGTAAACTCTCCCTCGCCCCCCACGCATCCCGGCAGTGTGACTCCTTCACTTTTCATGATCTCCTGCCTTGCAACAAACTCCCAGCTCCTCAGGGACCTCCAAAAGAAAAATCTTCCTTTCCATCACCTCTGCCTGTGTATGTTTTCCTTCCAGCCTCCATCCTTGCTGAGCCTCCCCTTTCTGCCTGCCCCAGCCTGTGCCCTGCAGGCACCCTCCGCCATCTCCCGCCCCGTGAGCTCCAGGGGACACAGGTAGGCAGGAGGGGTTGCCCCCCTGCCTACTGCTCAGCCACAGCCTTTGTAACAAAATACTCCTGAAGCCACCTGCCTTACAGAGGGGATTGGGCTCACCCAACACCCCCTTTTGAGGCTCCCTTGTGTCAGACTGGCTATTGTCACCCCCTTTCCTTAAGCATAAGTGTTGCTGAAAGAAATACGGACACAGCATTTCATGCACTGACCCTCAGTCAGTCTTCTGGGGGGTGGGGTGGGGTGGGGTGTGTGTCCAGTGGTAGAGACTATAGCAACCCATGGAGAGGGGCTGTTGGGGAAAAGCCATGGGAAAATGGGGGACAAAAATCAGGAAATAAAAGTCAGATCTGCTGCTGTGTATGGAGAACACCACAAAAATGGGTTAACGGAGCAGCTGTACAGCAGGGTTGTCCCATGTCTAAGGCACACAAAAACTTGCTCGGTCACTTCCTCAGCGCACAAAGTTCCAGCCCAGCTGCAGTGCTGGGACACGGCCGAGGCCATTCCCTGCGTTAGGCTCCCTCACACCAAGGGGGTGAGCGATGCCGGCACCCAGCACTGGACGGTTTCACTTGATTCATCCAGTAAGACATTCGCAACCTCGCCATTCTGGGACACACCAAGGTTTTCAGCTATGAAGTATTACCACTGAAGCTGTGAGCAGTAAGGACCATGTTTTAAGGAATGTTTAGAGACAATTTTGCCTTTTCCATGTATGAATCCATAGACATTTTTGCATAATTGAACTGTGTTGTTTAGAGGTGTTTTTTTTTTCCAAATTAATGATACAAATAAAATTACTCAACAACAGTCTGAAGTGACTGAGCCGCTCCACTGCAAGACTTCCACTCCGGGCATTCAGCAACAGGAGGTGCCTTGAGAGGCTTCCCCCCAGAGTAGAGATGTTATCTCAAAACACAGATATTTTATCTTGAACACGTAAAAAACCACCAAAAAACCAGTGTATCAAAAATCAAATTGTTCTTGGAAATAGATATATTCTGATCTACAACGCTCCCTTTGCGGGGCTATACTTTTAACATGCACCTTCACAACTTGAATTCCAACATCTTGTTTCAGAATTATCCTTTCAAGCCTCACAGCTGAAGTACAAGTGTCTCGCAGTGCTGAGAAGCAGGCGTGCTGTAACTGCAGCGAGGGGCTTCGCTGTAGCTTTACGCCTGCCCTAGGGAAGCAGGTTTGATTTCCTGAGCTGCCACCCCTCAGAACCACCCCGCAACTTTGACAGGTGCCCCTTCAGAGCCAGAGTTATGGGCAGGTTGCGCCACCTTGAACAGGCATCACAAGAATCAGAAGTACCCCCCACTTCTTGCAGAAGACGCGTGGGAACAGGCATAACCTGAAATACTTTGATACTTCCAACTTCAGTTAATAACAATTCCTGAGTCTGGAGCAAAAACAACAGCTGAGGTGGGAATGGCCAGACTGGCACTTTAGGGAGACTTTGTCTTAATCTACAGCCGCTCAGAAAAACTTCTGAATCTGTTCCTGCAGCTAAAAGTTGCTGCTCCGATGCATTAGACTAGCCCCCAGCTAACCCATTTCATGGGAATAGTACATCTGCCTGATGTCTTTAAAAGGCTCCAAGCAGTGAGTGACCTTTGGTTATTAGAGGCAGGCAACTTGTTTCTGTAAGTTCTCCCCTGGGAGGGAGATCAGGACACACTCAACCCGCTCTCATTCCTTCTTCAGGTACTTACTCTGCATGTAAACTTAACTGATTTACAGTAGGAATATCTCTTAGATCTATAGAAATTGTAAGTTCTCCAAGCTCTAACGCAGGAAAGCCAAGTCTCTTGATTCACTACACTATGCTGCTACATGAGGTACATCTGTCCCTTGGAAAGGGAGGAGACATGGTCAGACCCATGGGCTGTTTCTCAAAAAGGGGTGAAAATATCTCTGCTTTCTTTTCTGGGGAAGTGTGGTTCCTGGCAGGTGAACCAAGAGAGAGAATAGTACTGCAGGGAACAAATTCATTATTTGTCTGTGTGCCACTCGGAAAAAACATGGGATGATGGGAACAAAATTTAAAGACAGAACAAACAATTGCTTTGCTCCTTCAGAGTGCACGCCTCCTTAGAAACTGCTGTGCTTCTCAAAGGCAACACATCTGTGTCTTCATGATCCCCAAATTGCAAAGATCAGATGCAAGTGAGGCTGCATCTCCCCACATTTAAGTAGCTAGCTGAGTCCAGACCCCAGAGAACAAGGGTATTATGTTCCCCAGATCATAAGCCAAGAAGAGTGCTTTTATGGGAAAATACAAGCTGCTGCATTTAACACCCACTGAAAATTTTCCCGAATCTACACAACGCGCAGAGCCTGTGCTCTCCTTGACACAAGGAAGGTGTCTAATGATGCTAAAAGACAAAAAAGCATTACAGAAGAAACAGGGAGATACTTACACTGGTGTTTGAAGAAACACTGTGATGGAGAACCCCGTCACCAAAGGGGTTACCGGAAAAAAAAAAAAAAAAATAATAAAAAGGTCATCAAGAAGTCAGTTACTTGTCTGGCTAGGAGCTGGCGGATGACATAAGAGCTGTAAAACCACAAGCTGTGCAGAACTTGAGAACCACGCCTGAAGATACACTGCCCTTTTCTCCTGAGGAGCAGCAAAGCCGCAAACCGTTAGCAGCAGCGAGCACACGACCTTCAGCACACGTCAACACCGTCCCCTGCAGCAGCTCCCACTCTAGAGTCAATTAAAGGCAGACTCTACGTGTTAGATGATCACGGACCCCATCCAGTTAGTTCCGACGGATGAAATCCAGGGACTGTTATTTGGAAACCATGGATCAATAGGTTGTTTTTAAGAAAAGAAGGAAATTAATAAGAAAAAAAAACTTCTGAAGACCACAGTCCCTGGACCGACAAATACCCCAGCTGCATCAGAGAAACAGATCAACAAAAGCACGTCTGATGATACTGTTGCATAAAGGACTGCTCACATGCTGTGCACCAGAAGCAAACACAAATGGGTGCCAACTCACCTGACCCCTGTGCATTCTACAAATTGGAAGCCGACAAATTCCCCTCATCTGTGTCTTTTCTCAGCTCCACTGCCACTGAAAATACCACTGCACAGCACTGACAGCACTGCAAGTTATTCACGATTCCCCAGAATCCTTCGTGAGCCCCACAAGTGGTTTCTCCATCAACTCTGCCCACTTTCATCTGGTAAACAGTGACTTTTCCCCTGCTTTACAACTGAAGCTAAAAATAGCCCCTTTCATTTCATAACTTCCTGAACTTCATCAGAAATGTGTTTTATGCAGCAACACAAGCACTAGGAACAAACTGGGCTTAAAAATAGTTGTGAAGAACCAAAAGAGGATCAAAATTAGGCATCGAAAGAACCACCTCTCCCTCTTCAGGCGGGGACTATGCTTTGAACAGACTGCAAAATACCACAGATTGGAAACCAACACATCCTCTTTAAAAACACATTTCCAAGAAAGCAATTAAAAACACTATTCATAGCTTTTTTTTTTTTTTGCTCATACTTTATTGAGTGAAATGAAACAACCCAAAACACAAACTCAAAAAATAAGGTCTGTGTTCCTCACGTCTCATCTGTAAGGCAGTCCCTTAGAACGAACAGCAAGGAGCTCCTCCAAGTACAAAGGCCAAGAGAGACCACAGTGCCACAATACCAGAGACTCTGAAGGGCAAGAACAATAAAATGCTGTTAGGCTACTTATATTTAGGGCTTAATTTTGTTCTTATTAAGCACTGAGATTCTTTTCCAAACCATGTCAGGCCAGAAATTGAGCACCCATTTCACAAGCATCACCGTCACCGCCTCACAGGACGTGTCTGGAATTCTCCCCTACTACCAAGCTTTCGACTCTACTGTATTAAAAACCACATCCCTCCCACCCCTGGGAGACTCTGCCCCTCTCTCTCTCCCCTCAAGCTTATTAGCGCTGGCGCTACAGCTCATCAGGATAACCCTCTGTCTGTTACGATAGCACATACACCGTTTCGTGATATCCATGGGGTGACATTCCCCGGTTAATCGGGATCCAGGTTAAAGTCCAGTTGCCCAGGGCAGAAAGCTCGCGAGTCGCCCCCCAGCAGCTGGCCAGGGGACCCCTTGTAGGGTTCAGAAGCAGCTGGCTTCTGAACCCCTTGTTCTCCAGAAGGGAAACGCCGGCCCCCCTCCCCGTTCCTGTGATTGCTGTCACTCACTGCAGCAGGCAGTTCACGCGTGGAGAGTGCCACCAGTGGCGATAGATGGAAACCCGCAGATGAGGGTGATGCTTATAATCTCGCAGAACGCGCCTGACGCTGTAAGGAAAGAGGATGTCATGAGCCGTGGCCTGCAGGCTGCCTATAGCATCCCACCGCTCAGGGTGGCAATCTCTTGATCTAAGGGTTGTCACGGCAGAGGGAGGGTGGGACGGGGACTTGGATCAAAGAGGATCAAGGGACAAAAAAAAGTAAGACTTTCCAGTCACTTACTCCTTAAATTTATTGGAGAGCAGAATGAACCGGTTCTTTGAAAGCCATCTGACATCAAAGCGACAAAGAGCTTTGAACTCTTGGTAAATTTGCCTTTCATTCAGCCCTGGCCAGCCTCGGACGTGGACAACCAAGAGAGGGGGACGTTGGCAGGGAACATCTTCCCCAGAAAAATTCTGGAAAACGTACAATGCTGAGACACATCTGAGTTTGGAAACACTAGAGAAGCACTACTAATATAATCAGAAAATATTAAAACGTGACACATAAATAAGACAGGTTATACAACACAGCTGTTGGTGTAAAATTATTTTTTTTCTTCTAAAGATAAGTCATAAAAGCAAACTGTCACCACTACCATGGAGAAACCACCAGAGAAACAGCAAGCTCTCTTGCAGAGCAGAGAATTAGGGCAATGTAAACTAACATCATCTTACAGGATAACAATATAAAAACACTTCACAAATAGAAATTCAACCCATCTGCCATTTTGAAAGGTCAGTTTTGTTATTTGTACGACAGCAACTTCTGCCAGGGTGGGCCCAGGCACTGGTGGATTTTTCTCTGCTAATGAAGCCACCGACTAGGCTACTGACCTACGCACCCCACAAACTAGTCACAGACCTGCAATTCATACGCACAATGCTCGAAATGCCACCTCGGATGAAATTCACTTTGTTCAGATACTCAGCTAACACGGCGAGATATTGAGAGAAAGAAGGATCAGCCTCCACTGCATGACTACATCAGAAAACAAAATTGAAAAAGTTTTGTTTCTCCAGCGCTGCACTGCTGCACAGCGTCTCTGGAGCACAGAGCTCCTGAAGAAGCTCTTTAACTAGTGACAAAGTAGGAACTTCAGATCTCAATATTTTCTACAGAAGTCAAAAAGCTGCAAGCAAAGGGAAGGGATTTGAACAGTTGCCTCTTAGGAACTTAACTGAAGGCACTGAATCACACAGATTTCAAAAATGGAAACTAATGGAAAATGATTTGACCCTTATTCAAGTGAACTGAACTTTAGAGAGCTTGTTCAAGGGTAAAGGAGTCACAATGCCATTTCCCAACCTCTGAGCCATCACTTGGCCCCTGATTTAATTTTTAAAATGTCAGCTTTGACATAAAGCTACTACTTTCAGATTTATAAAATAAAAATCTAATTAGAACAGTGACATTTCCAATAACACTTCCTCTTACCCAAAAGGAAGGCTGGCCTGCAAAACAAAAAGTCAGCCAGAGGAAACTGACGACTGTTTTCCATAGGACCCATCCATGTAATGCAATTTTCAGTAAACATTTAAACATCACTCACTCTGTGGATTTGCACAGTAGCAAATGAGCTGACTTCAGAAGAACTAGAAAGAGGAATAATGAGGTGGCATTAGAACAAAGCTGGAGAAACGTAACTAAACAAATGGAAAGCAAAAACTCACTGAAGCGCAGCTAAGTTGTAAGAGCAACAGACTGTATACAAACAAATGTTTCTTAGCATCACACAGAGCTACAGAGCAGGAAAGGAATTGCCAAGTCCCAACAGAAACTCTGGAGGAGTGTTCAAGAAGCCTTTTACCTGAGCCACAGAGAAACGCATCGTAGCCTGCCTCATGAGGAGATTTCTTCTCAGCTGCAAGTGTCCGACAAAATCAAAAAGGAATAAACACCTTTAGAATGCTGTGGAAACTGCTCCATGGCAGAATTCTAACATTGGTAAGGTCTGCTGTTCTGTTTTAGAGTTTTCCTCCCACCCCACCCGCGGCTCTCTTTCCTTCCTCACACTGAAACTCTTACACCCCATAGAAAGTCTGTGCTTCTACCATGCACACCAACAAATGACACCAACAAAAAGGCAGCAGTTACACGGATGGCTGAAAAGCTTAGCTAGATGCACATTAAAAAACTTTTAACTTTCACGAAGATCTAAACCAAATTGTGTTGCATACATCACTGATGATACAGGAACCATCTCAAAGCACAGGAGACCCTGCGCTGCAGGGCACCACAGAATCACAGAGTCATTTAGGTTGGAAAAGACCTTCAAGATCATCAAGTCCAATCATGCTGCCAGAAGCCAGGAAACATCTGCCTTGCAGCCAGTATCACACCACATACCAAACACAATCTCCAGCACACACAGCACCACTAGCCCTGCACACACGCCACTGAGCTCTTGCTACTTTCTGGGAACTCCCTGCCATTAGTTCCCAATATTTTCCATTTTAAGACCGCCGTTTCCCACCTCCCCTTGCCCCTTCCAAGGGCCACTGACTCTTCATAGCTCCAAGTCAGGCTCAATTCAGCCCAACCTAGTATAAATGCTGTTTGTGCTAGCAGCATGATGCAAACCTGCCCTGCATTACCCTCAGCAGCTACCAGGGACATGCAGAACACAATATTCCTGGAGCCCAGGGCTTTGGGTCTGGACAAAAACATGTATCAGCAGCTCTGTGCAAATTCAGTAGACCCACTGGCACTCACTCATGCTTTGCATGACATCCGCAGAGTAAAGCCAACCCCTTTTTAGCTACCTGACTTTGAAGATTTGCTGAAGAACATACCATATCTTGAGCAGTCACTTGCAAGAGCTATCACCGGGCATGCTGGATCTTCAGGATTTAGGATGCTGCTGAAGACAAATGGGCGTGTAAGATTTTTGTCTTTCCTCATTACATTAGAGACAAGTTACTCTTCTCTAGTGACCTGTGGCTTCATTTCAGAAAAAGCTACTCCAGACTTTAAAGGGAACTTTGGTAGTATTCTATGAAAAGGCTAAGATACTTAGCTGAATAATATCTACCAGTTTTCTTCCTGAAAACTAACTCCTACATACTTCCTCAGTCTCTTCTCCCAATCAAACCTAAGCAGCACGTCTGCTCTAATTGTATACAAAAAACATGAAAAGAACTAAAAATCAATGGAACACTCCAAGGAAAGCGGTTGACTAGATGGTTCTATTTGAATGGGGAACTCTGGAGGACAGATTAATAAACAGATACCTATGGAATGACTGAAATAAAAGAAAGAACAATCAAGCATTACAACTCATGAGAATCTGCAGTCTGAAACTGCTAAAAGAAACAAAACCACTCAGAATCCCAGTACTGTTTTTATAAGCAGTAATTTTGCATCTCATTCTTGGGACGAGGGGGTGAGGGGAAAGAGGCAAAATTTTCATTTTCTTAGCAAAATTGACAGGGAAACAATTTATCCACAAAAGAAGTTTAAAAAAAAAAAAAAACAAAACCAAAAAAACGAGAACTCTCCTACCACATCATGGTTAGCTCATGAGATATGAGATCTATTCATGCGCTGCATTTAAACGTTGCGTTTAGTTACTGCTTCGGGCTGAATGCAGCTTTTTCTTGGGAGCTGGCATTTGAAATGAGGGTTTATTTTCACTGAGAACTGAAACTCACTCATTTCATAACATGATATAAGTAACATACAACTCTAAATTTGTATGTAAGGCTGTCTGCAAGCCAAACTTGTGACCAATGAAGGAACGGTGGTACAATATGAGAAGTGACTTAGAACAGATAATTTGCTGCACAATTACTTTCTAAGAAAGATGAGTGAATCTCTTGCTCTTGAATTTAGAAAGACAAGAAACCACCTGAAAAACATTTGAGAGGAGGGAAAGTATGGACATATGAAATGACTGACTTTGAAATATCTTTCCCAAGGAAACACAGGGATTGCTGAAGACTTTATAGCCCACCACTTACCTGCACAAAACCGCATACACCTCCAAAAGATTACATACTCGAGGAAATGGACATTTCTATAAAAGAAGAACATGTTAGAAAACCAACCGAGACAGACCTTGTGGTAAGTGAGCTCATTTACTGGTACTGCTGATTCATTAAATGAGATCTAAAGTCAGAATGCCTCAGGTCAACACTGAAAAATGGGTCACAGTTCTGTAACCACAGGGCACGAAGGAGAGGTACCGTCTCTCTTGGGTGAAAGACAAGCTTTAATTCCAAACAAGAAGACCTTTGCATCGCACCTTCCAGATGGATTTTGTTATAGTCTTGGTGTCTATGAGGACAGGAAACAGGCTGTGAATGTTCCTTTTAAACTCTTCATAGCTTTCTGAAAGCAAAACACATGTGGAGAAAGACACTGCAAAACTGAGGAAAAGCCAAAGGTATTTCAAATTAATAAGAAATAGAGGTGAAGTCAGAGGAACAATGCACCACTCCAGCAGTTAAGAGCTCAGAAGAAGCAACCAGCACTGCTGCTTGCTAAGCACAGTGTGTGTGTGGCTGGGGTAGCAAATGACCGCTGCACTTACTGTCCCATCCCTATTGCAAAGGCAACAGCCTGAGGACAGCAGCTATGTACAGCATTACCTGGGAGGGGCTTGTAGAACTTGTCGTGAAGATGCATAAGGTCCATAAGCATGTTGTGTCCCACCAGGGGCTATGGGAAGAATATAAACATAACAGCCCATTGGAGCATATTTTTGAAGAGAGCTCAGAAATAAGCAATTTTAGGCTCAACAGCTGTAATCCTTTCCTCCAGTGGGCAGCATCCACACACGCTCACCCAAAAGTCATTCAGGCTGCAAAGCCTGCTTTCAGGAAATCAGACTTGCGGACTCTCTGAGGAGGGTGTTTCTTCAGCAGCATTCTAGTTTGAGTGGACCTAAGGAGCCAGGTGGATTCTCATTTCAGCTGAACACTGGTAAAATCTTCCAGCGATCAGATTTATAGGCTCACTCACAAGGGGAGGGACAGCCTTTGTCTGCACATCACGCATAGTCCTCTGATGCTGAAATTTGTTCAATAATCTGTACACAGAACATAGGAATTTCCACATATAATCAGACCAATGGTCCACATGGTCCAATAAACTGATCTGTCACATGCTGAAAAGCATAATTTGCCCAAAAGGCAAGAACCTGCTCAGCTTTCTTAGATGCTGACTCATGCTGTGTAACCCAAGGATTTTCAACATTACGGACTCCTGCATTTTCTCAAGTGATGTAAGGAACACATTACAGAATGGGTTCTGGCTCCCTCTCCCCTGGCTGCACTTGGTTTACAGAAGTAATAGAAAAGTAACACAGGGAAATCTAGTGTTTTGGTCCATAATTCTGAGCATGCTTTGGGAGTGGGACCTGGTCAGTAGGAAGATGTAATGTTTAACACTCATTTTTTCTAACCGTGACTGCAATCTAAGAATTCATCTCGGTTCTACTGAGAACTAAACAGGATGATCACACCGAATGAGTTAATACAAATTACTACTTTTATCTTTTATCATCCCTCTACATCCAGTGTAGCAAATCAAAGAGATTAAAAACGAGAGCAGGGATGAGGCATTTTACCTTCTTGGCTTTAACAAGTGTCTGGAAGAGGTTGGTGAAGCCCCGGGCAGACAGGAGAATGAACTCCTTCTGGCAGTGGTCATAAGGAGAGTTCTCCAGAAGCTGACGATGCTGTGGACTCACTTTTTTCACCATTACCTGGAAAGAACGGTCATTGGGTATCACAGCCTCCCATGCTACTTGTATGTACATTCCTTACTGGGGTTGGGCAATGCTGAGGACAACTTCATCTTCTAGGCTATGAAGGATGGAGCAATAGCACATCCACTGGGACCTCAGGACTGTCTCACTTCTCTTCCATATGGAGATCAGTGCTCCAGTAACAAAAAAGACACCTGCTCTAAGGGTGTCTTATTCATGCTTCTCTTCCTAAGAGGATGGTTCCTACCGCAGGTTTTTTTTGGAGAACAAATGAATGTAATTCAATTTAACTTGACACCAATATGGTAAGTTCATGGCACCGAAAAACAGAAGGAAACGGTAATCACACGAACTGGGTCCCCAAAGGCTTCAGGTGAGAAGGCTGGGTAAATCTGTCACTCTATTGACCTTGCTTATCAGAGCAAAATAGTACTAATGCAAAACCACCAACCAATCAACCAACAAGATTTCTGTAGTCTACTTCTAAGCAACTGACTGGTATCATACTCATGTTTTGAGAAGTCCACAGCCATAGGTTTCATTCAGAAAATACTGCACCAAACGTAAAATAGCAATAGCAAATAGCAGAACAGCAAGCCATATAACAGAGTAGAAGTCTTCAAAGCAACTACATGGCAAAAGTCAGCAAAGGAAAACCACAAAAAAAAGGCTAAAAACTGGTATTGAAGAAGAGACCTAACAAAGTCTGGAGACACAGAGAAGGTCCCTCCAGAAGTGCCCCAAGGACAAGCACTTCTAGCTCAAGGTATTTTGTGGCTACAGGACAAACAGAAACCAAAGTTACTCCATTTTCTCAATCCCTTTTCTTGGGATCCCACAATCAATACTTCCCAGAACATTCCTTTGTCATTGTCTTCTCCTTCTCCTGGACCCTATCATTAAAAGTACAAGCAACATTTCAGAGTCCCTGCAAGAATGCCAGCCCTATCTGTCTAGATACAAACCCTCTTTTCAAAAGGTCCACGTTTCCATCTCACCTTCTTGTCTCCAATAGGCTGTGTCCAAACATTTTGGAGAGCCTGTCTCAGAACAAGCTGAACTTCAAACACCTGATAGCCTGAGGAGAAAAGAAAAAATCTTCCAGCGATCAGATTTATAGGCTCACTCACAAGGGGAGGGACAGCCTTTGTCTGCACATCACGCATAGTCCTCTGATGCTGAAATTTGTTCAATAATCTGTACACAGAACATAGGAATTTCCACATATAATCAGACCAATGGTCCACATGGTCCAATAAACTGATCTGTCACATGCTGAAAAGCATAATTTGCCCAAAAGGCAAGAACCTGCTCAGCTTTCTTAGATGCTGACTCATGCTGTGTAACCCAAGGATTTTCAACATTACGGACTCCTGCATTTTCTCAAGTGATGTAAGGAACACATTACAGAATGGGTTCTGGCTCCCTCTCCCCTGGCTGCACTTGGTTTACAGAAGTAATAGAAAAGTAACACAGGGAAATCTAGTGTTTTGGTCCATAATTCTGAGCATGCTTTGGGAGTGGGACCTGGTCAGTAGGAAGATGTAATGTTTAACACTCATTTTTTCTAACCGTGACTGCAATCTAAGAATTCATCTCGGTTCTACTGAGAACTAAACAGGATGATCACACCGAATGAGTTAATACAAATTACTACTTTTATCTTTTATCATCCCTCTACATCCAGTGTAGCAAATCAAAGAGATTAAAAACGAGAGCAGGGATGAGGCATTTTACCTTCTTGGCTTTAACAAGTGTCTGGAAGAGGTTGGTGAAGCCCCGGGCAGACAGGAGAATGAACTCCTTCTGGCAGTGGTCATAAGGAGAGTTCTCCAGAAGCTGACGATGCTGTGGACTCACTTTTTTCACCATTACCTGGAAAGAACGGTCATTGGGTATCACAGCCTCCCATGCTACTTGTATGTACATTCCTTACTGGGGTTGGGCAATGCTGAGGACAACTTCATCTTCTAGGCTATGAAGGATGGAGCAATAGCACATCCACTGGGACCTCAGGACTGTCTCACTTCTCTTCCATATGGAGATCAGTGCTCCAGTAACAAAAAAGACACCTGCTCTAAGGGTGTCTTATTCATGCTTCTCTTCCTAAGAGGATGGTTCCTACCGCAGGTTTTTTTTGGAGAACAAATGAATGTAATTCAATTTAACTTGACACCAATATGGTAAGTTCATGGCACCGAAAAACAGAAGGAAACGGTAATCACACGAACTGGGTCCCCAAAGGCTTCAGGTGAGAAGGCTGGGTAAATCTGTCACTCTATTGACCTTGCTTATCAGAGCAAAATAGTACTAATGCAAAACCACCAACCAATCAACCAACAAGATTTCTGTAGTCTACTTCTAAGCAACTGACTGGTATCATACTCATGTTTTGAGAAGTCCACAGCCATAGGTTTCATTCAGAAAATACTGCACCAAACGTAAAATAGCAATAGCAAATAGCAGAACAGCAAGCCATATAACAGAGTAGAAGTCTTCAAAGCAACTACATGGCAAAAGTCAGCAAAGGAAAACCACAAAAAAAAGGCTAAAAACTGGTATTGAAGAAGAGACCTAACAAAGTCTGGAGACACAGAGAAGGTCCCTCCAGAAGTGCCCCAAGGACAAGCACTTCTAGCTCAAGGTATTTTGTGGCTACAGGACAAACAGAAACCAAAGTTACTCCATTTTCTCAATCCCTTTTCTTGGGATCCCACAATCAATACTTCCCAGAACATTCCTTTGTCATTGTCTTCTCCTTCTCCTGGACCCTATCATTAAAAGTACAAGCAACATTTCAGAGTCCCTGCAAGAATGCCAGCCCTATCTGTCTAGATACAAACCCTCTTTTCAAAAGGTCCACGTTTCCATCTCACCTTCTTGTCTCCAATAGGCTGTGTCCAAACATTTTGGAGAGCCTGTCTCAGAACAAGCTGAACTTCAAACACCTGATAGCCTGAGGAGAAAAGAAAAAAAAAAAAAAAAAAAAAAAGAAAAAAAGGAGTAGTAAAAACTTCAGAGGTGCAGACAAGCCTATTTAGGAAAACACATTTTTCTAGACGGAAGGACTGACCACATGTTTCTTCCCCACTGCACAGAAAATACATGTACGAGCTTGGTACATTACCATAAAAAAAAAAAAAAAAAAAGAAAAAAAGGAGTAGTAAAAACTTCAGAGGTGCAGACAAGCCTATTTAGGAAAACACATTTTTCTAGACGGAAGGACTGACCACATGTTTCTTCCCCACTGCACAGAAAATACATGTACGAGCTTGGTACATTACCATATGGAGGGCAGGGAGGGGGGAACCAACTAACCAACCAAAAAAAAAAAAAAACAACCACCAAACCAAAAAACAAAAGGTCACAGTGAGAATTTCAGGCAAATAAGCTTTTGTGAAGACACAGAGGAAAGAAAAAGACTAACTGAAAAGAAGAGGGAGGAAGGCTACTACTCTGAAAAAGACTGACTCTGGTTTTGGAAGGTTTCAGAGCAACACACCCAGAAGCCAAACACAGATGAGAGGTACTGATGCATTTTCCCCCACAGCTGGTAAGGAACAGTCCTCTTCTGAACAGCATGCAAAGAGACACCTTAATCAGCCTTATTGCTTACTTAAATAAATGTCTTTCTTGTCACAGGTGTTCACCATTGCCAGACCCTACTAAAGAAGTATCAGTATCACGTCTACTACAGCTGATGTAGCAGATACAAAACACAGCACGCTCCCCACCCTCTGTATTTCACGCTCTGCAAAAAAGCATCAACAGACAAAGCCTTAAAGACATCGTCCTTCCTAACCTTTTCTGTATTTTATTCCCTGAACTAAAGGATTAAGATTTGATCTCCGTGAGCAAATGTATAAACTATTCTCTGCCACAATTCCCTGTCCCTCAACTCCAAAACAGCACAGAAATTCCTCAGCTCTGCTATAGTGCTCCCTAAAGCTAATGCAGGTGGTAAATGGCCTGTTTATCCCCACTGGCATACATATGTGTCTCCGTGGGGCTTCTTGTTGCTCCACCTGAGAAGGAACAAACTCTGAAAGGGGACCCGCCTTTCCCTTCTCCAAGGGGAAAAAAACCAAAAACCAGATCACCCAGGATTTAAAACAAGTCAAAAGTTGTCCCGTTCCAGTGACTGCAAATTCTCCAGTTGCTGCTCTGAAGCAGCACAAAATGGAAGTCAGGTACCACAAAGCACGCTCCAAGCACCTAGACATCCACTTCCATGAGAGAATTCCCACCACCGCAACGCAGCAGAAAAGCAGAGTCCAGAGATGAATGCCTGACAGGAACTGAGGCGTAGACAGGGGCAAAGAGTTGTAAAGGCAGGATGGGCACAGATGCTTTCACTCTCAGCAGAGCAGTTTAACAGAACAGGCAGCAAAGGACAGTAGCAGCCCCAGAGGTTCAGGAGAAGTGACAAAGCCACGCAGAGCCCATAGGTGCCTAAGGGCGGCCCCCTGTTTCATACCACTTAGATCCTGTAGTATCATAGTCTCCTCTTCCTCTGCTGCAGCTATCCAACAGGTGACTTCATCGATAGCCTTCTTCAGCACATCCCTGTCCAGAGCACTAAAGTAGGATCAGGGGGAAAGGCAGAACGCGGGAAAAAGCTCTTTCCAGATGGAACCTTGTGCCTTGCTGTCAGAATGCATAAGCATCACTTCCCAACGTTCACTCAACTCTCCGGATTGTATCCTGTGATCTCAGCCTTCCTTCAGACAGACCACAGCATGCTGAACAGCTGGTAGTGAGGCATTCAGACCAATAGGCTTTAATATTTCTAGAAAATGTGACCTGAGTGAAGTTGAGCTGTCAATACAGTCAGCACTGAGGATCCACCTCTCTGAAGAGCGCTCACCTGCTGACTTTCCAGCTACCCGCCAACAGATGCTGGCTAAGGATCTTCTCCTGTACCTCATTCATGTACGGGATCCCATCTTTGAGGAACTGAGGGGAAAAAAAATGCCAGGTTGGTTACTCTCCCCTGGATTTTCTTGCAGCAAATTAGAGAACAGCAGGTTAGCCAGGTCCAAAACTGGCATATACTTGGAAGATGCTGGTGTTCCTCATTCTCAGGATATCCTCTTCAAAAATACAAACTGTAAGTAATCCAGTAAGCATTCTTACATAAAGGAAGACATGTTTATGTACGGAGGAAAGAGGAGGATTTTTGTCAACTGTAATCAATTATTTTTGCTCCACTTTTAGCTTTCCTTTAATGAGACGCTTCAAGTGTCAAGATATCACGATACTTCCTGTCCAAAATTGCTAAACGGTGCTCTTACATGATGACATAGCCTAAATTTTGCAGGAAATGTAGCAATACATAAGATGCAAGTAAAGACCTCCCCACCTTCATGGCTTGTAAGACTCCCACTGGGGTCCATTTAGTAACTCCTCAGCTCCCCAGAGATAGGTTTTCTTTTTTTGAGGTGGGTAAATCTGTCTCAGGCTGACAAAGATGCAGTTATTGCCTCTACGGCAGTTCAGAAAAACCAGCACTCACTCTCCCTGTTAATGATGAACCACATGATGCACGAAAGAGAAAAAAGTTGTATGAATGCACCACATACCTACAAAGAAAAGAAAAATCTTTCTAGAAGATAATTACAAGAAATAACTCCTCCCCAGCAGGTTCTGCATAAAATCCCAACTGCACTGTCTTCCTTGTAACAGAAAACTGCTTTTTTACTTACTTGTTTGCATTTTCATTTGAGAATATTGCCAGCCCTGCAAGAGAGAGAAACCTCCGTTGAACCTGCAATGTTTAGCTGGATGTCTACGGATACTGCGAAAATGAGGTAAGGGATCCCCTGATGGAGTACGTGGTTTCCGTTCACTAATGCCACAGTGCGAATCTTAACAGCAATTGCCAGGCTGCTCCCCAGCTCCCCGAGAGCTAAGAGCTTTCGGTGATAAGTGGGAAAAGGAGTCAAGTCTGATTAAATAGCAAATAGATTGAGCAATGGGCAAGAAGAGGCAAGTTGGTGACGAAAGTCTCCGCCTACGGATGCATAGGTCTGTGGGTCCAACTACGTTACAAAAGCATCTGGAAGGAGTGAGGCACCACAGAGGACTGAAACATGGTTTTTTCCACTTTTTTTGATTGATCCTGAAAAACCCCATAAAGATCTTACATAGCCCAAGGCTTTGAATAACATTTTAAACAGTTTTGGAGCTGGTTTCTTGACCTCTAACTGGTTCTTGACTGTCAATAGCCCTCCACCACCGGCCCTTTCTTGTGTTGACTTTTTTATTATTTAGGAGTATCAAAAATGCTAGCCTTCACTTTCCTCCGATAGTCCCCTTTACTCACACACTACATCAAATGACACAGCCTTGAAAAGGAGCTGCTGCCACCTACTTCTTGCTTGCATCCTCTGTTTCAAAAGCCCTGTGTTTGCACCTGCAATCTTTAGATACGAACAACTTGAGACCAGTAAAAAGTATACGGCCCACCTGACTTTGCATTATTTAAAATATTAAAAAGTTGATAGCATTAAACATCGAGGTGGGGGGGGGCCACACACACACACGACACACACCAAACCAAACCCTACCACAGCAAACACATGTCTCCGTAAGGAGCAAATGAAGACCAGGGCTACCTGCTGGGCCTGCCAGCTGGCAAAAGGCCAGTTACCACGAAGACCTCCGGAGATTACGTTCCGTCTCAGAACGGCACTTACCAAGCTGAGTAACAGTGAAGCGCTGAACGCTCTGCCTGGCCTTCAGGTACCGCTCCGCGGGGGAATCAAACAGGCTACGAACAGAACCAGAATTGGGGGAAGGGGAGCGGGAACAAGGAGGTTTGCAAGGCGCAGGTTGTTCCCGCAGAGCTAGAGCAACAAGCCTCCCTCACATTTCAAGTCCGACAGCTTTACCTGGGCTCGTTATTTTGTGGGGAAGTTGAGTGTAAACCAGTGAACTCCATATCGAGGGCTGTTGAGGTGGAAAGAACGCAAGAAAAAAAAAAAAAAATCTGAAACATGAAGCACGCGCTTCACCGGCACCAGGCGAAGGATCTCTGACACACCTCCCCTCGCCGTAACCCCTGTGCCAAACCCTCCGAGCGGCACCAAGCTCAAGGGAAAGGGCAACCGGCGGCTCTGGCAGCGAGGTCTCCTGCGGCAGGATGAGGGAGGGAAACGCACGCACACCCCGGTGGGGCCCTGCCTCACCCTGTGGCCTTCGTGTGTGTGTGTGCCCCCGTAACCAACACCCCGAGCCGAGGCCAGCACCCCGGGAGGGCTCGCTTTCCAGC